CAGGCACTGGAAGGGGCTGCCCAGGGAGGTGGTGGAGTCACCGTCCCAGGAGGGGTTTGAGAGCCGTGGGGACGAGATGCTCAGGGGCAGGGTTAGTGCTGAGCTCGGCCGTGCTGGGTTAACGGTTGGACTCAATGGTCTTTTCCAACCTAAGAGATTCCGTAACTTCTATGATTCTATGATTCCCACAGGCATTTTTATTACAGGAAGGCTCATTTAAATTGCTGGTCAGGAGAGCTCGCTCGCTGAGTGCCAGGCGGTGGGTTTGGGAGGTTAATGACTGCAGCCCACAAGTCGCGGCAATCACTGCAGAGCACAGGGTTGGGTTTTTTCTCCTGCCAATTCTTCTGCATTTCCTTATGTTTCTCACATTCGCGTCTCCATGTGTGCTGAACCTCGGGCCTCTCGCTCTCAGCTTTTCCTCCTGGCCCAGCTGCAAGCGTCCATGATGTGGAGACTGAGTATTTGCCTTCATTTCCTTGCAAACATTGGTTTCCGACCTGCCGGGGCATTGGACTTTTCGGAGTGAAACGCAGTCGCTGAGCCGGGCATCTCTGCTGCAGGGCAGAGAGGACGTGCCAGCTCCTTCTCCTCTGTCTGGAGCGGGTGGGTTGGGTAAACTTCCAAACCCAAGATTTCAAATAATGAGGAATTCGGCACATCCCCAGCAGCTCACAGACGCTTGGCTCCTCGTTTGCTTCAGTGAAGCTGCATCTTTGAGATGGTGCATCTTGTTCTGCGTATTTCTAGAGCTCTCTGCTTTTGGAAACTGGTTTTCTACTATAATCAGGTTATTTTTTTTAGTTTTTCTATATTCTTTAGGCATTCTTCCATTAATCTAAAAGAATTATTTAATCTGTGTTAATAATCATAACGGCCTCTAGACTTGGAAGCCTGTTCACTGTAAATGAATGTCCCTGGGGGTGATATAGCTCATGTGTAACGCACATGGATCTCACTGCAGTCTGGGTTAGCAAAATGGAGGTGTTGTGCATGCCCTGGTCAGGAAACCAGAAGTCTGTAGGATTTTAATTACTGCAAGCCTTTCATTTCATACTGATGTATTGCCAGCCTTCTTTGCAACCCCCTCCCGGCCAGCTGGTGTTAGGCCGTTGGGTGTTATTTACCTTCTGTCAATAGTAGGGCAGCCTGTGTGTACAGCTGGGCAAGTGTTTGAGCGGGGTCTCAAAGGGACAATGCCATGCAAGCCCACCCTGGGATCCCGGAGCCCTCCACACCGGTCTTCTCCGTAGTGCCTTCACATCCCAGCTGGAAGCTTAGCAGCAAAGGACACAATGGAAACGAGCTCCAAGGACACTGTTGCGATTAAACTGTCACAGTGGTATTAGTGATCTGTCAAATTATCCGGATACTTGGGATTTTTCAGGCTGGAGGATAAAACAATCTTTCACAGCTGAAGTACAGTATAGTCCATAAAATGTAAAAGTCCATTGTTAACAGAGTAGGGCCGAGCCCTTAGAAACTGGTCATAAAAGCAGTTCCCACTGTGTGGGATGTGGTTTGTAAAGCCTTCACCCAGCTTGGGGCTGACCCTGACCTTGATCCTGGAGCAGTGTCACAGGAAAAGTCTCCGCATGAGAATTCCCAGTTGCTGGGGTGCGCGGAGCATCCGAGCCCTCCTCCGCCTCCCCTCTCTTTTCAGCCCAATGAACGTTCCCGTTGTTCCTCCCCGGGAAGGGAGCTCAGTCTCCACGTGCCCAGGGAAGTCTCTCTGCTGTCCTGCAATGTCTCAGTCTTGCCAGGTCTTTGGGATTTGGCTCAAGACCTTATCCAGCTTCGGGAGCGCAGAGTTTGTCATGCTGGGGAACTGTTTCTCTCCGCAACATGCGACTTAGGGATGACAGTCGGAGATGTTGAGCCGTCAGGGTGGTTGTCGGTGGTACCTGCTCAAGCATCTCTGCAGGGCTGTAAATTCCTACATTGAAACAAACCAAAAGTGCTCCGCTCTGGGAGGCCCCATGTTCCTCACAGAATATTGCAAACTCCATCCAGTCAAATTACTTCAAATGCTTCACTTATTTTTAATTATTCTGTCATGCTATGCTGCTGCCCAACAGACTGAGGTGACCGTCTTCTCCTGTGATTTTTTGGGATGTACAGCATGGCAGACACGCAGGTTATGGTTAAGTGTGGAACCTCCTTCTCAACACCAAAAGGTTATTCCTTTAAATTAAAAAAAAAAAAAAGCCTTGATGGTATTTTACCAACGTTGCAGACATTTTACAAGAATAAAAAAGTCTCTTTCTCCCCCTTTAATCCCTCAGAATCTCAGGATAGCCTGGAGAGGTCTGAGAAGCGGAGGGAAAGATGGGAACAGAAGCAGCACAGGAAGAGAAGAATAAAGCAGCGCTCCATCAGCAAGGAGAAGTGGGTGGAGACGCTGGTGGTGGCAGATACCAAGATGATAGAATACCATGGGAGCGAGAACATAGAGAAGTACGTGCTGACCGTGATGAACATGGTGAGTCCTGGTCCCCCGATGGCAGAGCTGCCGGGTCCCTGGGGACATGGCTGTGAGACATAACAACCCCTGGGCTTGCCAGGACTCATGCAGGTGGGACCTCAGCAAACCTCTCCCTGGACAGGCTCTTCCCACCCACTCGGCTTTTCTGCATTGCTCAGTGCTCTCTGCAGGGCCGTGTGGGCAAGCCCAAGGCCAAAATCTCTGTGTAGGCGGGAGCAGCTCAGCCTGCCGTGGTTTCACCTTCCCCACCAAGCTCAAGGGCTGTTCCCTTCTCCTTCCCACCACAGGGATGGATAACGTGGCCTCCCAGGGAGATAGCCCAAGGGCAGGACTGCTCCAGGGAAGGGAGGTGGTGGGTGCTGCCCTGGGTACCTCTGCCACGGCTCTCCCCAGGCAGGGGTGCAGGCAGCTTGGGCAGGGAGATGCAGCAGGAGCTGAAACCACCCCAAAGCCCTGTCATGGGCCACCCACCGCCCTCTGCGTGGTAAGGAAACCTCCTCGCAGGAGGAGAGACCCGCAGCGACCTGGGAGCTTTGGCTCAGGCTCCGTCGCTCCAGGGCAGCTGCCGGAGCCAGTGCCAGCATTAGTCTGGTTAAGCAGAGGAGACTTTCCTGGGACAGCAAAGGGAGGCAGCACTGGATGGTGGTGGTCCCCACTGGGAATGTGGGGGGTTGCTAAGGCCATGCAACAGCAGATAAGTCAGCATGAGTTGGTGTCTGTTTTCTCTTCTGCTGCCTGCTAGCACCTCTCTGCGTTTCAAAAGAGCTTTGGTGGATGGGCGGGATTAGGCAGGGGACCTCAGGGAAACATCTCTGGATTTCTGGGCGTTGATGAAGGCACCCAGCAAGCTCAGGCTTCCTTTGAGATGTTAAACACATCTATTAGGGAGAGAAAGCAGTTCCCTGGAGCATTTCTGGTTGAGTTTCAAGGTGCTAGGCAGATTATATCACCTTTAAATGGATATCATGGCACTCAACACTTTAGTCTGGGTCTGCGTCTGGTCTGGTCTTTCATTTTGAGGAATTCCCTGGGAGGATGTCAACAACCCTCAGTAGCTTCCCCTGAGCTCATGTTCCCCTGCAGATGTCCTTCCCAGCAGCAGTGGCACAGGGCAAGGTCTTCCTCAGGTTTTACTGCTTTGGCTTTCGCCTGTTGCAGGTGGCGGGTCTGTTCCACCACGCCAGCATCGGGAACCCCATCAACATTGCCATAGTGCGGCTCATCTTGCTGGAGGACCAAGAGGTAAAAAGAACACGGGGTGACACCCTCCTGTCCCGGCAGCCGGGCTGGGACACACGGGGGGCTGCCCTCGAAAGCCGCGGGCGCTCTTGCTTCCTTGTGAGGAGCTGCGAGTCCGAGTGATTTATGGTATCTCGGCATCGCCACCGGTAGCAGAGGGCTGTGTGTTGCTGCTTGTTTGTGCTCCCAGCTGCAGCGCTGGCTCTCAGGAAGCCCGACACCCCTCTGATGGGCTCCCCAGCTGCATCCTTCGCCGTCAGCCAGGATGGGATATTTTCCCGCAGTTTCTTAACCCCCGGTATCAGATGGTTTAATGTTTCGACTGAATTGTAGATGAAAAGAAAGCAGCAAGGACTGTATTCCCACCCAGCCCACAGCCTGTGACTGTGGAGCAATTCCAGCTGGATGGCAGTTACTCCCAATTTCACTCTGATGTGTCTGAGATCAGACCCCCTCCCCACTGCATCCTACAAACCAAACTGCTCTGGCGGCAACCTGACGGCAGACTTTTATTTATGTTGGCAGGAGGATCTGAAAATCTCCCACCACGCAGACAACACCTTGAGAAGCTTTTGCAAATGGCAGAAGAGCATCAACGTCAAAGGAGATTCCCATCCCCTGCATCACGACGTCGCGGTCCTGCTCACGAGGTATTGTGCCCATGAGCTAATTTTATGCTGTAGATGCTACGCTGGCAGCTAGAAACACCTCTGGCAGCTGCAGGCAGTAGGGCAGATGGTGAACATCTCGATGGGAGCTCTTGAAATGTTCCTCTCCATGCCTGAGCCCTGCCCAGGCACCTGCACATAAAATACGTGCCATGAAATCTGAAGATAACCTGGTCCTAATGGCTGGGACTGGTCCCAGATCTCAGGTTTAAATCTGGAAACAGCTCCCAGTTGACTAGCAGCTGGGATTTCCAAACCAGGTTTTCACCATGGCCCCATTGCCAAGCCCCAGAATGACTGGATCCTCCCAGGAGATGTACAGAGGGATTAACACTGCTTTTTCCCTTGGAGGCTGATGCTGGGATTGGCAGAGAAGCCTCTGAGAAGGCCCCTGACCCCCCATGAAGCTCCCAAGAATTCATGCCTCTGGCCAAGTTCATATACCTTGCAGTCAAAACGTAGTTTGATGGTTTCAGGCTGCAGCAGCTCGGCTCTTGGCAGTCTTGGTTTGTGTGATGATTCACAACCCACAACAGTTTCATCTTCTCTAGGAAGTTTTGCTTTGTAGCAGAAATAAGGCACTTAAGGCCATGACTTCAATGGAGTTGTTCTTCCTGGGTGGCTGGAGCTCCTCTGCCCTAGACCTCAGCCCCCCTGGGATGTGCTTCCCCAGGCAATGTAGTAATTGCTTAGTTGTTCCCAACATCAGCTTTATTTATACAATGGAGTAAACGTAGCCAGGCTGGCTAGCAGTTCCCATTAATCAGGCTTAATAACAAGCTGGGGATACCGGGAGAGTAAAGGGGAAAGGAAAGGTCGTAAATCTTTCCGTTGTGGAAAGACGTTGGATGTCTCCGTTCTCGCTTCTGTCTGGCGTGTCTTCCTCCGTGGGCTGGGACACGTCCCGTGCTCCTTCCCGCGCCTCGCGTTGGGTCCTGCTGCTTTCAAACCCCCTCTTTGCTCTGTGTGTGTGTTTGTTGTCCACGTCACCCCAGGAAAGACATCTGCGCAGCCATGAACAGGCCCTGCGAGACCCTGGGGCTGTCCCACGTGGCAGGGATGTGCCAGCCCCACAGGAGCTGCAACATCAACGAGGACACGGGGCTGCCCCTGGCCTTCACCGTGGCCCACGAGCTCGGACACAGGTACCACCGGCTTCCTCCTCCTCTCCTCTGTCCTCTGCGCTGCTCCGTCGGGGCTAGAGAAGGCACGGGTGGAAGGTGGGAGGAGATTGCTGAGCAGTTCCTCGCTGGTGCAAACCTTCCTCTGCTCCCGCGGGAACGTACCCTGGGAATTGCGTTTCGGAGTTAAGCTCTTGGTTGCCCCAGGTTTAATGGCAATCCCCTAATCCGACGCAACCTGGACGAAGTTTGTGTGTACGTTACCCTGTGTTGCTGATGCTGAAGGTTTTGGAGAGGAGGGTTGCCCGTTAAGGAGCTTTAAGACAGGGTCTGTGCGCAGAATCAGCGGCAGTTTTACTTGCCCTAATGTAAATTAAATTTTGACAAGATCACTTAGACATCATAGTTGAAAACAAATATGTTTTTGTGGTAAAAACACCTACCCAGTGAGTTTAATTGATCTTGTTTGAAATTCTCATTACTTTTTTCTTGGCTGAATTTTCAGTCAGAAAGCTGAAATGAAAGCATGGGACAAAGCTCAGGGCAGCATCCCTGGTACCCCTAAAATGTCCCCCCTGGCAGAACCCCCGATGCCTGTTAATGAGCGAGTCCCTCTGGAGCCGGGACACGGTTTGCCGTGTCCGGCGTCGCGTGTCGTCGTACCGGAAAGCAGAGAGGCTGCGCGGTTGTAGCGGCGTGCGGCTCACCTCTCCTTTGTGGGACTGTGCTCTTACACAGTTTTGGGATTCAGCATGATGGAAGCAGCAATGACTGTGAGCCAGTTGGGAAAAGACCTTTCATCATGTCTCCACAGCTCCTGTATGACACGTCCCCACTCACCTGGTCCCGCTGCAGCCGGGAGTACATCACACGGTTCCTCGAGTAAGTCCTCCCTTCCTCTTCCCACGCTCGCGGGGTGCTGGGGGCGGGCGCTGGGGCTTGGGGACGGACCCAGGCAACTGCGCAGAAGTCAGCCCCAGGGTGGGTGAGGCTGCTTCCATCTCGCCGGGCTGCCTCGTGAAGGAGGGGGCTTCGCACACAGAAGCAGCGCGAGCATCTGGGCGGTGGCGCAGGGGTTGTGGCTTGAAGAAATAAAGGTTTTCTTTGAGGCTGTGGGCGGTTTTCTGCGGTGTTCTGCGAGGGGCAGATGATGTTTGCCTGTAGGCAGGAGGCGTCACGTGAGGAAATGACTGAGCCAGATTCTTCCAGCATTTGTTTATTTTTAGCGCCCCGTGGCTGATTTTCCAGCCTGTTGTTATTAAGTTCCTAGGAACACGGCCCAGAGATTCACGTTTGTCAGCCAGCGCCTTGCACTGGAGAAACGTTTTCCTTCCTTGCTACAGGAAAGTTGGAAAACTGTGAGAGCATCAGCGAGAAACAGCAACGGGGAGAGCTGGGCAAGGGACCGCAGTTACACGGGGGGGAGGCTGCCCCGGGGCTGAGCTCCCCTTTCTAAACCCCAGCCTGGATCTTGTGGGTTTGGGCCCCTCGCAGGGTGAATTACGGTTGATTTATGGCTTTCAGAGGAATGGCAGTTTCCCGTATCCACAGCGTTCTTGGACCTCTGCTTTTAACCTTCGCTTTTGGCTTAAGAATTTCCTGCTTGCAATGACCTTGGGCTGCTATCAGCCACAACGGGGAAGAAACAGAGCAGCTGGATGCTTCTCTGGTTGGGTTTTGGTCTCTCCTTTCTCAGAAGGGGCAGCTCTTCCTTAGGAGTGGAGCAGAGCCCGGCGTTCGCCGGCTGCGATGTCCCCCAGGCGAGGGAGAGGCCCGTTGCCAGCATATGAGTGCGTGGTAATAATGATGTTGGCAGGAGAACGGGAAGGAGTGAGCCAGAGAACGAGCCCCTGCTGACCTGGGATGTGCTTGGAACAGACCTCGCGTTTGGGGGGAAAAAAGCACTCTCTGATGATTATTTCTTTACAAACGCTGCCGAACTTTTAAGCCTCTGAAAATGATTCACATCTTCGACAGCAGCGTGGCCCCGGTGCTGTGGGTCAGGCCCTGGGTGTAGCCAGGGCTGGGCGACCCTCTTGGCGAGGCTGTGGCTCAGGGTCTGCAGTGGGAGCAGGTGACCCCCGGGGGAACGGGCATCCCTCACTGGGGCTGATGAGGGAGGCCGGCACCGGGCGGGTGGTGATGCTCCAGTGGTGGAGGGACCACTCTGCCGCTCCCAGACCCAGATGAGCCCTTTTTGGCATTCCATAATCTTCCCTTCTGGCCCTCGGAGGAGTTGGAAGATGCTGTGTGGCTCTTGACTGCCCACCCCTCGCCGTGACGTGAGCTCTCCCAGCCTGGCTGGTGGAATATCCTTGTGAAACGGGGTCCGGTGTCTCATGGATGCCCTGCCTGTGCCGCAAGCTGTGGCACGGAGCAGCCTCCCTCCATCCCAGCAGCAGCCTTGGCAGAGCTGCCGGTTGTCTCGTCTCCCTTCAGTCTTTTCTCTGGATCAGACTTTCAGAGTTTTTCAGCCTCGTTGCACACTGCTGGAGGTTTTCTTCACTCATCCTCCCATGGGCTCCTTCCAGCCGATCCCAACCTTCCCGGAGCCCGGGGACGGCAGGTCTTCCCCAGCCCTGCCTGCCTCATCGCTCCGCTGCTGCCAGACTCCCTGTTTGTGCAGCTGATTCTTCCCAAGCTCCAACCCTTGCCTTTGTTTTTATTGAATTCCGTCCTGGCTTTTTGGACCCTGCCTCCGGTTCTCCGGAATTTTAATCCTGCGCTCAAATGTATCTGCAGATCCTCCCAGCCTGCTCACATATGGGGATTTGATCACCGTACCATCCACTCCATCATCCAGCTCGTTAACGAGCGGCCCGAGGTCGGCAGACGCAGCGCAGACCCCTGCGCGTTTTTACTGCGGAACGTGGTTTACTGCCGATCCCTCCAAAACCAGAGGGAAACTCATGCCAATTCTTGCTGGCCTGGGAATGTGTTTGGGCCACTTGAAGAGACCAGTAGGATGATATAAAAATATTTAATGAGGAAATAGATTTTGAACACAGCTGGAAAGCTGACGGTGAATTGAAATCACCCCCCATGCTGGGACAGAGACCTCTCCTGTAAACTGGGCCAGGACAAAGTGCCGCGAGCAGATCGGGGGTGAGGAGGGTTGGGGATGGTTTTGGGGTGACATGCAGGGCCCCGTGTGCTGGTGGTAGCTGAAGAGGCGGTTGGTGACCTGGCCCAGAGGAGCACCAGGATCATACATGTCGCTCATGCAGGAGCCCGGTGCCTAAGCCTGGACTTCCCCCAGTAACGATGTCATTCTTTCCGTTTCTAGAGAAATCACGCTTTTTAAGTGTTTTCAACCAGCAGGGAAGGAAATAGGATATCTAGATTAGATATCAGGGAGAAATTCTTCCCATGAAGGGTGGGGAGGCACTGGGGCAAGTTGCCCAGAGAAGCTGTGGATGCCCCATCCCTGGGAGTGTCCAAGGCCAGGCTGGATGAGGCTTGGAGCACCCTGGGCTATGGAAGGTGTCCCTGCCCATGGCAGGGGGTGGGGCTGGGGGGGCTTTGAGGGCCCTTCCAACCCAAACCATCTGTGATTCTGTGAAAACAGCTGTGAGGTGCAGTGTGGGGACTTTGCCGTGTGCCTGAGACAGGCTGCACCATGACCCTGTGTCCAGCTGCCTAATCCACACTTAATTCATCCCAGGTCAGCCCTGCATCGCCCACAGTGCTCCTTCCCTCCCCGCCGGGCTGGGAGAGGCAGGGGGG